CCTCCCTCTTCCCAGGGTTTGCTGGTGGCCATTCTCTACTGCTTCGTCAACAAGGAGGTGAGCAGGACAGCAGGGGAACGGGCAGCAGGGGCACGGGGTCACACTGACAGCTGCCACCCGCAGGTGCAGGCAGAGCTGCTGAAGCGATGGCACCGCTGGAAGCTGGGGAAGGACCTGGCTGAGGAATACAAGCACACCTACAGCCATGCACCCAGTGCCCGCAACGGCACCGGCAGCACCTGTGAGAAGCACCAGCTGGTGAGTGGCTGCACCAACGGGCTGGGGCGCAGCCTGGCCCCCCAGGCCAGCTCCCAGTGCCTGGAGAGGAGTGGGCACAGCACTGCTGAGCACCTCGCCCTGGCGGGCCATCACCACTGCTACGAGTTTCCTGAGACCACGGCCGAGAGCCACTTCTGAGCCCGCAGCCAGGTGGGAGGGCTGTGCTGAGCCACTGGGATGCCACCGTTGCCTGCCCCGTCCTCCCCAGGTGCTGGTGGGCCCTGGGACCTGTCGCCTTGGTGAGGGTGCTGCCTGGGCACATGGACAATGGACACAGTGAGGCAGGCAAATGGGACCTGGACCTCTGGAAGGGGAAACTGTGGGGCCAGGGGGATCTGTAGGGGTGGGAGTTTGTCCTGTGGTGCTTCGCTTGTGCACCTTCGAGTCCCTGTGCACAGTGCTGTAATTTATCTGTCATATCTGTAAATAGATGTGGGCCCGTGCTGGGCTGCAGGGCCAGCTCTGTGTGTGCCTTCCTGTGGGCTGTGGGGACTGGGGACACTGTACATGTGTGGACTATGCTCCCAAGCACCCCAGGGATGCTCCCAAGCCACAGCCATGGATGGAGAGCTGAGTCACCTGGCAGGGATGGGCTGCTCCAGAAAACAGCCCCACTGCCTGCCCCACTGTCTGCCCCCCAGCCCAGCAGCCCTGCTGCCCTGCTGCATGCTCCAGGGTGCTGCACAAGTGAGGGCGGCAGACATGCAGCAGCAGCCGCTGCAGCACTGCCAGCCGGGGCTCCAGCTCCCCCAGCACGCGCTTTCCTTTGGCCGCTAATCAGCTCTGCCCTCTCGCTGCCAGGAGCCCTTAATTAAATCATTTGGCTCTGCCCGCGGCACCCCCGCTCTCCCGGTGGCTGGCCCAGGCCGTGGCCGGCTAACTGCGAGAGCAGCGGTGGGGTGTGGGGCTGCAATGCCCCTGTGCCGACAGGCCGGGCTGGCTGCGGCGGGCTCACAGCGGCGGCCTAAGAGGCTTGTGCTGCGCACATGAGCGCTAAACCCGGATGCCGCAGCTTTGGGCACCACAATCGCCTGGTGTGTGGGGATTATTCCGGTGCTGCTCCCCGGCTGGGTTCGCTCTGACCGAGGGGTGGCGGCGGGACGGACAGCCGCCCTGCCGTGACCCCCACCGCCCACGAACCCGGCCGTGGGCTCTGCTCATCGCCCATCACTCCGCCGCACCTGGCCCCGAGCAGGGGACGGTTCCGGTTGTTAGGTCCCGTACGCAGCCAGCACAGGGGACGCGCTGACAGGGCCCCGGCAGTCCCACGCAGCAGCCCCGGGCAGGCGGCCGCCCCTCGGTAGATCCCAGCCGGGGCAGCACCGCCCGCCCCGCGCTGACACCCCCGGTCCCGTCGGGAACCGCGCTGTCTGCGGGGCTGCCATGGCACGGCCAAAGAAGCAACGGCCCAGGCCACGCACAGCTTGGCTCCGGCAGCAGAGCCCAGCCCGGCACAGTAATTTTCCTCTGTTTACTCGGCAACTTGCTGTCTGCCCTGGCCGAGCGGACCCGGCGCCGCAGAGCCAGAGCAGCGCCAGCAGTGGGGACGGAGCAGCAGAGACAGGGAACAGAGGGTCTGGGCCGCGGGGCTCGGGACTGTGGGGCAGTGGCAGCAGCACCGTGGGGCTGTGAGAACACAGGGACTGTGGCAGAATGGGCGAGGGGAGGGGAGCACAGTGCTGGGGGGTCTGCCCAGGCCCCCAGGTGCAGGGATGGGGACAGGAATAGAGAGAGGGACAGGGATTACTCTGCTAAACCACGGCGCTAGTGCGGCCCAGGCAGCCTCCGCGGAGCCAACGGCCCTACAGCCGCTGCCGTCACTGCGGCCTTCCTGACAAGGTAATTTTGCCTAATTGAGGCAAATTGCTGGAGCACCAAGCAGTTTCTGGGAAGGTAAATATGGTCAGGCTGTACCCTGTGCCTGTTGCTCCAGCGTTGCTGTAGCAACACCCCACTGTGGACCCCCAACCCCTCTGGGGCCAGGCTGGCCCCCAGACCTTGCCCAGCAAGGGTGGCCCTATATATGCCACACAATGATAGGGACTCTTCAGGGACCTCAAGCCAGCCGCAGCTCATGGGTGTGCTGTGGAAATGTCCTGTGTCCCCTGGTGCTGAGGGGCAGCTCCCAGCACTGCCCCATGTCCCACAAACCCCCAACAGCCCCAAGGAGGGACGGTGTCTGCCAGTGCCCAGGAGCCCCATGCAAGCACACGATGCCTGCCTGCACCAGCATGTCCTACAGTACCAGTGCCAGCCAGGTGTGTCCCAGAGCTGGGCACTGTCTTGCTGCAGGACTGAATCTGCAGCCCTGTGCCTTGGTCACCTCCAACTCCCACCGAGCCACATGCTCTGGCCAGCAGCTTCCCAATAACCACGGTAACTACAGCCCCCTCAGGTCGGCTGGGTCAGGAGGCAACACCACTCCTGGGACCGCCCTAGAAGTGGGGCTGGCCCCGGCCCAAGGACACAGCTCCAGCGGGACTGCAGCACCATCCTTTCCCATCACTGCAGAGCTGTTGGAACGACACCCCTGCCTGCCTCGGCCTGGCACTGCCAGCAGTGGTGTCACCCCTGCCCATCCTGCCAGCACGCAGGGGCATCCCCACCCCAAGGAACAGCTCAGGCAGCACAGCCTGCACACGTGTGCACACGTGCACCACACCCACACAGGTACATCACACCCACACCCCCACACCACACCCACACCCCCACACCACACACACACCCCCACACCACACCCACACAGGTACATCACACCCACACCCCCACACCACACACACACACCCTCAGGTACACCACACACACACCCCCACAGCACACACACACAGGTACACCACACACACAGGTACACACACACACGTGTGCAGACACACATACACATGCACATGCACAAGTGTGCACACACACATATACACACACATGTGCACACACATACACGTACACACAAACACGTGTGCACACACATGTACACATACACCTGTGTACACATATACTCACATATACACACACATGTACACATGTGTGCACACACATACTCACGTGTGCACACACACAGGCAGGCACTGCTCTCGGCTGCCCGATGGGAGCTGCTTGTTCCTGGCATCCAGAGGGATGAAGGCGCTGACAGCAGCCTGGCCAGACCTGCAGGATGGTTTGGGTGGGAAGGGACCTTTAAATGTCCCCTGGCCCAGCCCCAACAGCGAGCAGGGACACCTGCACCAGACCAGGTTGCTCAGAGCCCTGTTCAGCCTGGCACCAAGTCTTTCCAGGGATGGAAACTGCCTTTCCTGGCAGCCCATGCCAGTACCTCACTGCCCTAAGCAGAAAGACTCTGCGGACACCACAGCACAGCCATGGCGCCAGTCCCTCCCTGGCTGTGGAGTTCGTTCCAAGGCATGGAGTGGGGCTGAGGCAGTTCCTCACCCCCAAACAGGTGGCCTGGGCTGTGTCCCCAGCCAGTGTCAGGATGGTGGGCAATGCCCCCACCCCAGCACAGCCAGGCACTCCTAGGTGTGGCGCCTCATAGGAAAATTCCCACTTTATCAAGGGAATTGAGCACCACAAATTGGTCTCCTAAGTCGATTCTGCCTGCTGCCAGGCCTCTTCCCCACCACCTAATTTGATGACAAACACGTTCCTCTCCTCCTCCCACCCTTTAATCTAATGAAGAGCACTGTGTCCAAGGCACAGGGAAATAAACCCTGATGAGGTCGATTTTTATAGGTAAACAGCCTGATTTCTCTGGCCTGTGGCCTCACTCCTCACACCCCTACCACTCACCACCTCCCCCTACCGCCTCACCATCCTTGCCCTGCAATTTGGCATCAGTCTTTATAAAAATCACCTGCTTATAGAATGTTTTTTGTACATTTCATTAGAGCTTAAGCACCTGCTTAGCCTCTGGCTTTACTGTGCCCGAGCAGAGAGGAAAACAAAGCAGAGGCTGGTGGGGCTGCAGTGGGGCCCCCATGCCCAGGGACATGTGGGGGTCCTACACACCTGGGATGGCCTCAGATGGGTGCCCAGACAGGGGGGCACTGCTGGGCTCCATGGCAGCTGAACAGCAGCCTGTCTGGACACAGGACACAGCTCTGGACATGCTAAGGGCTTTGAGCCAGGGCAGCCCCAGCCTGTCAGGCTCCCTGAACACAGCACAGGACCCATCCCGCCAAAGAAGTCAAAGGAGAGGGGCTGTGACAGTAACAACCATCATTCCCTGTCCCCCACTGCCCACAGCTGCCTGTCCCCTCCTGCCTGCAGCTACAGGGATGTGGAGCCTGGGGTGGCTCGGGAGGCAATAGGGACTGAGTTCCCATCTTGCTGTGCCAGAACCAACAGCACCAACAGCAATGTTTTGGTGATGGGAGGTAAAGAGGGTCGTGGCAAGTGTCACGATGCACTCAAGCAGAAATTCAAGCAATGCTAAGTATAGCCTAAATGCCATTAAAGCAGGAGAGGGAAGAGGATACGAGGGTATTAATAGTCTCAACATTTAAATCCTGGGTGCAGTGACAGCTCCCGGGATGCTGGCTGCCCGGAGCACTGCCCGACCAAGGGCACTGAGCCACCAACACGCAGCACCTGCCCGCAGGGAAATCAACAGCCCCAGCAAGTGCAAGGCCAGGGCCCTTTTGCGAAAAACAAACACAGCCCCTGCTCTCTGCCCCTTGTCCACGCCCCAGAACTGGGCCAGGCTGCAGCACCACACCAAGGCAGCCCCAAAAGGACACCAGCATTTATTTACAACACTCCTCAAGTGACATACCACAGTAAGGAAAGGGTACAGTACAACTCAAGGACTCAACAAAGGAAAGGAATTGGCAGCCCCAAGTCCCTGTAGCCCTCCCCACAGCCACTGGTACTGGGCAGGCCTGGCAGCCCCATCCCCGCCAGCTCGGAGCACAGGCAGGCAGGGGGCTGCCACCCTTCCCCATGGAGCAGCCCAGCAGCTCGGGTGGGCAAAGTTGACACAGTCACTCTCTCTGGCTCAGGCAAGGATGCAGGAACCATCCACACAGTGCCAGGAGCAAGTGGCTTAAGGAAGCACCCCTGGCGTGGTTCCACCACCTTCAGCCACCCAGGGCAAGCTGAGGGGCCAGGTCTCTTCTAGGGGTTGCCCATCTGGAAAATGGTGTTAGTACAAAACTGCAGCGTTGCCAGGGCAAGGAGCTCCCGAGCCTTGCTCTGTGCAGCCCCATGGCTGCTCCCATGGCCACTGTCTCCTGTGGGGCTGCAGGTGGCCCAGGTCCCTCTGAGCACCCCTCAGAAGCCTGGGGCAGGTGATGACACTCCACCTCTCCATCTGTAGGGAAAGAAACACCTTCCCCTCCAGCACCACAGGGACCAGGTCTGATCTAAGCAGGTAGAAAATGTGGCCTCAGATGTAGCCCACGTGCTCTGGCAGCAAGCAGCCCAGGAAGCAACTTGCTGCTGCAGTGGAACTGGGAGGAGCCTGGCTATGGTCTCCCAGCCCTCAGCTACACAGTAGGGCTGGACAGGGGTTGCCCCTGTGTCTGGAGGCACAGGAATAGACTCAAATGTGCCACCTGCCCTCGGCCAGCCCCAGCAGCGGTGGAGCTCCAGTGCACAAGGGAAAGCGAGACCCCATGCTGCCTGATCCAACAGCGCATCTGCCTCGGCCCTGCCCAGCCTAGCACACAGGGCAGCGACAGGAGGGGAACAGGGGATCGGGGTGCTCAGCATGAAGTGGGGAAGAGCAGTTTGAGGCCAGAAAAAGCTATGAGTGGGGGGCTGGAATCCTTTGCAACAGGCTCTGGGCAGTCTCAGTGAGGCCCTTAGCATCCTCGACCTCAGGCAGCTTCAGAGCCAGCCCCAGAGCTGACTGGCTCTACCATGGGCTTTTAGAAGGACAGACCAGAGGAAGAAATCAACACAAAATCTCGAATTAAATCTGCTTGAGGACCTCAGGAGAGCAGCCGACCTGCAGGGAGGACCCACTTTAGGACTTCTTAGCATCCTGTGTGCTCCTCCTCTTCAGATCACCCAGGTCGACGGGTTTAAACGCTGCAAGGGAGACAGGAGAGACTTTGGGGGCAGAGGCAGCACAGCCCCCGCCCGGCGCGCGCAACCCCCGGGCCGACACACCGGCGCGGTGCCCCCGTCCCGCGCACCTTTCAGGCTGGGGTTCGGCATCTTCTCCACGTATTCCTCAACCAGGCCGCGCTCGGAGCCCATCTGGCTGCGCAGGTCGCGCTCCACGCACTGCCAGGCTGCGGGGACAGGGACAGCGCCAGGGGCCGCTCGCCTCGGCCGCCCCGAGCCTCCCGCGCCCCCACCCAGCGGCCGCCGCCCCGCTCACCCTCGTAGATGAAGCGCACGTTCTCCTCGTGGGCCGGCGTGAAGATCTCGCTGCCGGCGCCGGGGGAGCGCGGGCCGCCGCTCCGCTTTCCGTTGTACACCACCCGGGACACGGGGGAGCTGCAAGCGGAGCGCGGGGGGAAACTGAGCCGGGCCCGGGGCCGCGCTGGGCCCGGGGCCGGGCGGGGCTCACCTGGCCATGTTGTCAGCGGCGCTCGGCGGGGCCGGAAGGGGCTCGGCGGGGCCGCGGGAGGAAGGCGAGGCGCAGGGCCGGGACAGGCCGCGCGGCGCCCCCCGCCCGTCGCCGGGCAACGCGCGCCCCTCACCTGGGCCCTCCCGCCTGCGCCACCCGCACAGGCGAAAGCGCCGCAGCGCGCAGGCGCGGCCCCGCCCCCTCCCGGCAGCGGCCACACCCCCACGCCAGCCCTGCGCGCGGCGCTGGCCACGCCCCCGCCCCGCCAGGCCCCGCCCCCGGCCTGGCGATACCGGAGACGGTACCGGAGACGGTGACCGAGATGCTTTATTGGAAAAGTACAAAGTGGTTCCCGATTCGCAGTACCGAGCGCTGCTGCCCGGCCGCCGCCCGGGCCCAGCCCAGGCGCAGCCCCGGCCCTTGGCAGGCGCAGCCCCCTTTTCGCCAATGCCCGGCTCAGCGCAGCGCGGTGGCTCCCAAGAGCTGCACCAGGTCCTCGTACTGGGGGTCGATGAGGTCCGACGGTTTCTCCCCGTCGTCGGTGGTGGCCTCCAGGCTGGCCCCGAGGGACAGGAGGTACCTGCAGGACGCGGAGCTGAGCCGGCGGGCCGGGCAGCCCCGGCCCCGCAGCCGGCACGGCCCGAGCAGCCCCGGGGGAGCGGCGGCACCGGGCAGCCCCCGAAGGAGCCGCACGGCCGCCGCTGCAGCGCGCTGCTGTCGGTCCTCGGGCTGCGCGGCCCCGCAGCCCTTACCTGGCTATGTCGGCGTAGCCGTCGCTGCACGCCATGTGCAGGGGCGTCCAGCCGTTCTCATCTCTCTGGTGGATGTCAGCGCCGTATTTCACCAGGAGCTTCACACAGTCCAGGTTTCCCGTCAGCACGGCTTCATGGAGGGCTGCCATGCCTGAAGGGAGAGAACTGTTAGCCCTGGACGGGGCAAGAGCTCTCCGTGCTGAATTCACGAGTTGTGCACAGCTCAGGAAAGGGGTGCAGGAACTGTCTTTCTCAGGGAGAGGATTGTGGGGAAAGAAACAAAGACTGAGAAAGCCAGAGGAGCTGCTGTGGGTTCCTATTGCCCTTCTGCAGCATAAATACCCTGTCTGGGATGGTGAAGCACCCATTGCCCCAGCTAGACAGGCCAGAGAGAGGGAAGTGGAGCTGCCCCTTAGAGTCCTGGACAGGACTGACATGCACACATGAGAAGGGTCTCTGGCATTGTGCTCTGCCTGAGTTTCAGAAGCTCATCACTAACAAAGAATCAGTATGGACAGAAAGAAGCTCAGGGTCATTTGAACCTCTGTCTCCATGGCCTTGTGAGAGCAGAAGCTGAAGCCAAGCACAAGAAAAGGACAAATCTGGGCTCTGCATCAGTCTGTAGAGATCACGGCATTCCATTCCATTGCTGGTGAGGCTGTGCACACAGAACACAAAGCTTTCCCCGAGTCCCCAGAGTCAGACATACTAAAGGGAGCAATGCCTGTGAGAAATAGGCAGAGCCAAGAGCAAATGCAGATCCCTCAGTCGGGGGAAAAGGCAGGAGCTGCAGGGTCCTGCCCAGAGCTCAGAGCCTGTGCTTGCTGCTGCCCTTTGAGGTCCCACCACACTGAAGGTGCTCAGTGGTGCCTTACAGGGACCCAGAGGCCAAGCTTCCTCTTTCCACAGCATGTGCTGGCTGTGCTGTTGAGGGCAGATGTTGGGGACTCGGCTTGGGGCTCTTGGGCCCTGCTCTTGCTAGTGAGGGGCCTAGCTTGCTGCAGTCCTGCTGAAGGTGGCCCACAGCCCAGCTCGAGTGTCCCTCACAGCCCCACCAAGCTGTGCCGCTGCTCTCCCCAGCTCTGCCCACCAGCAGCACTTACCGGAAGGGTAGATGGTGTCCAGTGTCACCTTCCTGGCTCGTATGAACCTGCCCACCTGCTCCAGGTCCCCCTTCTTGATGTGGTCCTGAAAGACGACGTCGTTGGGGAAGTGCACGGTGCGCGAGGCCCTGAGCCGCGGCGTGTACCGGCGGTAGCGTGGCCCCAAGGGGCAATAGTCCCTCATGCTGACTGCAGCCTTCAGGCACAGCGGCGTGGGTGCTGCTCGGCACGTTGCCCAGCCCCTCGCTGGGCTGCCTCCTCTTCTGCCCGTCAGGGGCCCTCCTCGCTACGGATGTGTGCTGGCCCCGCAGCGCTGCTCTCCTGCCGTGCCCCCGCCCGTGTCCGTGTCCCCTTGCCACAGGGAAGTGGCGGCCACTGTGCCCTCCTGCACTCCCTGAGTCACATGCAGGAGGTGGCGCCTGGCATTTGCAGCTCACCTACAGGCCCCTTGGCCCAGGACTGTTGATTCTCTGGGAGCACCACGTTATAAAGACTCCCTGGGCTATTTTGGGGACATGCAGCTCATGCTATTTGCCATGATGCTTCGTAATCGAGCCGCCCAGGCCTGCAGCCTCCCACTTTTGGGCAGAAGTTGGTGTCTCATCTTACCACCCACCTGTTGATGTGCCCCATCCAACGGGTCAAATCTACTCTTGCATGGGTAGCCCTTCAGGGGAGCCTGGAAGCAATTTCCCATCAACTCAAATCCTTCTGGGGGAAGGGGCACAGGCACAACCAGCAACACAGGGAACTGGCTGCTCGTGTCCCAGTTGGCTAGTGCAGTGTGGGTGTGCCAGGACCATGGGCACAAACACATCCAGAGCTGTCACCCTCCTGTTGCTGCAAGGGACAACCTAAAAGGAGCTGGAGGAGTTCCTAGCCCAGCACAGCTGTGACAGCACACAGCCCAGCAAGGAAGCACAACCTGAGTGTCAGATATCCCCTGTGCACTTGCGAGGACAGAGGTGCTGCTGGTGATCCCAAGACAGGCACAGAACCAGAAGCCTGAACTGCTGGTCCCTGGTGTTCCTTGTCCTCCTTGAGACAGGGAAGCAGCTGCTGCTGAGGGCAGGCTACTGCAAGCAGACTTAGAGGAACAGCAGAACAGCACCACCACCAGACAGCTTCTGCCTCTGATACTCTCCAGCTACACTGTCATGACCCAAAACAGAACCATCTACCAGAGAGGAATCATTCAGGTCCACCATGGGTTTAAGCAACCACTGTTTTCTCCAATCAAAGTTTGGGCATGTCAGACACTGAAGCATTTTGTGCTCTGTCATGCTGATGGGGATTGTCCAGGTGGGTGTGTCAGAAAAAATCCCTGTGCTGCATTAAGAGTCAGGGGTTTCACTCTGCCCCTCCTGCCCCCTTGCCCTGACCCCAGCAGCACAGTCAGCCATGCACCTTACAACTCCTGCACTTGTTTATGTGCTGGCCAATGCACCGAACTCTTAGCCAAGCATCTGCTTGTGCTTAGATGAGCCTGAACATGGCACAGGGCATCCAAGCTCAGTGCTAGGGACAGAACACTTCCAGCCTGCTTTCTTGGAACAGCAATTAGGCATGTACATCAGATGGCTGCTAAGCTCCTGCTCTGCCACAGGGAGCCTTGGGCTAGGAAAGGCATCTCCTCTAAGCTGAGCTCAGTGAGTCTCTGCCCAGGAAGAGGAGAGCCACTACAGAGCTCAGACTTGGTCACAGTTCAACTGGCTGTGCAAAATACACCTATTCAAGTCAAATTCTAGACAGCATCTTTCAGTGGAACCTTACTAGTGAGATTCCCTTCCTCCCCACTCCAAAAGACAAAGCAGCGGTCACCAACCAGCCCAGGTCACCAGCACTGCTGGGTTTGTTGGGGTGCAGCAGTGGCCACTGCCTACCTTCAGTCAGGTGGGGGCATGGCCCTGGAGGGAGGCATCTTCAGAGGTCCTCCTCCATGTAACTGCAGGTTCTGGTCTCACACACACGTGTGGCTGCTGCTCTGACAGGCACAACCCTTCCTGTTCCCATGGTCAGTGGGAGCCTGCTCAGCCCCAGCCCTGGTGCTGCTGTGCCCAAAGTTTGGGAGCACCACGGGCTCTGCTGGGGCACAGAAGGCTGGAGTGGGAGACAGACATAAGTGTTGTCCAACACCCCTGTTGCCACTGCTCCAGCACACATCCCACTCCTTGAGACACAGAGGTGCCCCCACTTGTCCTCTAGCCTTACCATGTCCCCCTGTGACATTTATAGCATATTTTATAACCAAAATACCTTCAGCAGCAAGCAGCAGGTTTGGAAATAGCAGCGTGGCTCACGGGGTCATGTGAGCCTGACTAGCAGAGCCACAGCAGCCCTGGCGTGCCCTGAGATTCACTGCTCCGGAGCAATGTCCCCTCAGCCCAGCCAGCTGGCCCAGGGGCTGCACAGTGTCAGAGCCAAACCACGGCCCGTTCACTCCTAACAGAGCACCCGCACAAGCCCATGGAACCCAGACAGGACATGAGCATTGGGATGTTATTTTCCTTTACTAATTGGAGAAAGTGACACACACCCCATTGCAGCAGTCCCTTGAGAATCATCCTACAACTCTGACCCCTCCTTCCAGGATACGTTCAAATTATGTTCAGACAAAGAGACATAATAGTATTAAAATCTCAACTTTATTTGGCCATCAAATTCAGTACCAATGTTATTGTAGCAGAATGCTAAGAACCAGCCTGATGCAGCTCAGGCCTGTGAGGCACTCCCTCAGTCACATTCCCAAGCCCCAGTAATTGCGAATGTCCTGTTTGATCTGTTTATCAGGCCCTCCCCCACCACCCACCTGCCGGGTTAACCCACTCAAAATAATTCATGAAAGGGATTGCAACTCTTGTCTTTGATCAAAAGGATGTCAACACAGCTGGTGAGCCAGCAGCCACCTCCACCCTCAGAGCCTGCCACAGCCAGTGCACACAGTATTCCACCCCTCCAGGAGTTTGGAATAGTCATCTCCAAGTGTCTTAAAGGAGAAGGAAAAGGAAACGTCTGGCTAGCATGAAGAGAAGCACCTCCACATGCACCTTTTCCCAGGAAGCCATCAGCCTTCTGCCCCCACATATACTGAAGGCCAGCTCCAGGGAAAAATAGCTGACACCATTAAGGACCCTGCCAGGTGCAGAAATCAATTAGGGGCTTTAGTTTTAAAAGAAAAAGAGAAAAAAGCTGTCTGGAAGATGTTAGTGGCAAGGCTCCAGATTGTCAGGCTACTGAACTCCTGGTACCACCTCACAACCTCCTGCTGCCCAGAAGAACAGAGTTCTCCAGACAAAAGCTGTGTACAAAAAAGTACATCACAATAGAAAAAAGAGCCCAGCTGGCTGGGCTGGCTCCCTAGTGACAGTTCCCTTTTCAAAAGCCAAAAGAACGAAAAGGTAAGTGTACAGACAAGTGAGGGTAAAGTGTTACTTTAGAAGCCAATCCCTGGATTTCCAGTCATTTACCTTCTGCTTTAAATCTTAATGGGTTTCTGACTCGCTGGGCTGCATCACAGCAGCCAATTTAGTGTCTGATTTTTTGGGTGTTGTAGATCAGTCTTCTCTTTACAATTCATCCTTTTGGAGTTTCTGCTCATCCTCATCACCTTCCTCAAGTTCAGTTTCTTCATCCATCTCCAGGTCCTCCAGATCCTGTGGAGGTTACAGAATGCTCCTGGTTTCTAGCACAAGAGGCAGACCCAGAACCAAGCACTGAGGAGCACCCCTCATCTGGTCACTGCTCTCTGCTGACATGCTAGAAAAACATCCAGAGACTTCTAGCAAGAGCTTCAGATTCAGGACATTAAGGATCAGGAAGCCCTGGAAGCTGGTACCTGTACACCTGTACTAGCCTCCACACCCCCTCCCCTCCCCAGCAGGTGACAGTTTCCAAGCAGATACACAGATCCGTGGCACTGATGACACAGCCCAGTTCCAGGTGCTGGGTGCCCCAGCCGTGCACAGCCACAGCACTGCATCTCCACACCCACAGGGTGCTCTCCAAAAAAGGAGCCCACTGCAGGCAAAAAGCCACCCAGGCTGCACGTGAGCAGATCACACTGATCTGGGCGCTTTCTTCACCAGCAATATGCTCTCCTGGTATGTAACAACACAGGATCTTATTTAGGACTGAGGATTCAGGCACAGAACCAGATCTGACCCATGCTCTGTTCCCAAAGGCCCAGAGTACTCCATTCACATTACTCACATCATCAGCTGCTGCCCCATCCTGACCTCCGCTCTCCAGGAATTTTTTGAAGCCTTCTAGTGTCCTCTCCCCATTATAGTCAATTACCTACGCAGGGAAAACATAAGGATGCTGGTTATGGGCACTACAGACCCACACCCCTGGAGAGGAGAATTCTCTTTCTGAGCAACAGTGAACATGCCAAGCAAAAGGGAATTTAAAAATTCACCTTCACCCATATGAGACGAAGGAAAACAGCTCAGCCACTAGACTTCAGAGATCACTGCGAGGAAAGAATAGCCTGCAGATGAGCACACTGTCCTCTATGCTCCCTCTTTTCCCCATTCCCACTTCCCACTGCCCCCCAAACTCTTTCCCTACAGCCCAGACCCCACAAAGGGTCTTGGGTGTCCTGTAGATTTGCTGTGTTTCATCTCAACTGAATGCAGATCCCTCCCACAGGTCTTGTCCAAAACACCTCAAGCGAGCAGCTGAGCATTCCCGTGCTCCCTGGCAGCCCGGCTGCCTGCTTACATTTCTGCCAGAGCCTGCAGGGAAGAACTTGAGTGTGGGGAAGCTGTGGATTTTCACTGCCTCCACTTCATTAGCTGTCGAGTCCATCTTGGCAATGACAATGTTCTCATGGTCCCTGTAGGTTTCTCCCAGCTTGTCCCAGATTGGGGCCAGCTGCTTGCAGTGACCACACCATGGGGCATCTGTTAATTACAGAGACAGGGTTGCACCAACAATCTAATGAGGTACCTACTCCTCCCCAGCCAAACAGTTCTCACACATCTTTGGAACCAAGGCACTGCTTTTGGGGTCCAGACTGCAAAAGGCTTTTCCCCTAATCCTGGTCACACAATATTTTGGCAATCCTTTTACACCAGTTACTTAGACTCAGCCGTAGAAAGATACTCACAGAACTCCACAAAGACATTCTTATTCTCATCAAAAGCAACTTCTTCAAAGTTCTTCCCAACCAGAACTTTGACAGGCTGCTTGTCCCAGTCTTCAGGAAGATCCTGACTCATTAGATGGGGCTGGAATAAAAAGCGAAATTCAGATAAATGGTTTGCTACATAGCTACTTGGACTGATCATGCAATCACACATCCTGGAAAACCCAGGTTTCACCATCCCACTGGCACCTCAGTCACAGGATGTAAGCAACGAGATGAATTGGTCACTTCCTCTTCTCCCACAGACAGTCTCCTTCCCACCCTGACCCAGCAGGAACAGC